CGTGCAGCAGATCTTCCCCGGCTCGCTATGATGACGGCGATAAATCGGCACAATCTCTCTCCATCGCACTTTCGCCATTCTTCTATTCAGCGCGACCGGCGCGCAAAAATAAGCCGTATCCTTTGTACTGTCTGTGTTTATCCGTGACTGACGCGACCGGGCTCCCCCCGTGCATTTTTCCCCGCTTCTCAAATTAACGAAGCCGAACTTTCTTTCGCCGGCATACTTCATCCGCGCCGCGCAGATCGGTGCAGTTACGACGATCGTCGTCGCGGGGGCGACGAGTGTAACATCGCGCCATTGCGCGGGAACTTCCTGAAGAATATTGTGAAAATCTACATTGAGGAAAAAAGTATCTGAAAATTAATAAATATTTGTCACACGGAGAAAAATAATTTTGCTCGTTTAGTAAAATCGTCGTTGCCACTGCATATTCGTAGTAACATAAAAAAATTTAGTTGACATAACTAATTTTACAAATTATTCGTTATCAGAGCAGAAATAATTTCGTTGCCAGGATAGAAAAAATTTGTTGAGTGTATTTGTTCTAAGAAACATGTTAATTTGCTATTGATGCAAAATAATGTATCCTTAGCAAATTTATTTGCTATCGGAGCAAAATTGCAATTGTTTATATAAATTCATCATAGTTCTTGTAGCAAAATAATTTGTAGATTCAGCAAATTATATCCAGTAAATAGTGATTAGTACTCTTAGCAAATCTTTTTGCTGTCCATATAATAACGAAAAGATTTTGTTAGACCAGCAGAAAATTTTCTGGGCCAGCAAATTATTTTTCTCCGTGCAGATACACGGAAAAAAAGATTTGCTAATATATGGGCAACTAAAAATATTAACTGCAGGAGCAAATTTTCTTGCTTTCATAGTAAAAGTTATTTAGTTGTGATAGCTAAAAGATTTGCTAATAATATATATTAGCAAATCTTTTAACTATCACAACTAAAGATGTTAATATATATATTAGCAAATCTTTTAGCTGTCACAACTAAATAACTTTTACTATGAAAGCAAGAAAATTTGCTCCTGCAGTTAATACTTTTAGTTGTCCATATATTAGCAAATCTTTTTTTTTCGTGTAGGTTTAAGTAAACAATATTCAATTTAAATGAAGAGTTAATTTCGATTTAAGTAAATACAAATAGAACCCACCTCTAAGAAATATTTGTTAATTTTTAGATATTTTTTCCTCAATGTAGATTTTAGAATCGCACGCTTGAAATATTAGTCTTGGTCTACAATAAACCGTAAGAATTGGCCAATCATAGTCGATTATTATAAAAATAATATTTCTATCTAGAATCCACAATTATTTTAGGAAATCGGATTTAAAAAAGTTTCCTACGCGAAATTTATTAAATCGGTGCGGAAGATTCGTTTTCTTGTTTCTCTATTCGGGCATTAAAGAAGAAGTAAGATGATCTCGTTGGACTTGTGTAAAAAAAGAAAACTCGACTCGCGATGTCGGTTATTAATTCGATTTACGCACGTAAAAACGATCGATATTTCGAAGCTGAGCAACTTTGTTTCTACTTTTGTCCAACATACGAGGGTGGTCTGAAAAGTTTCCGACCTCAACGTGAAGATAGCAGCACTTGTAAATAAAAGCTAGTGAATTTCGTTGTTCATCTGTTGACAGTTACTCACCGAAGTTTCAGCCATTTTGG